GAGAGAGAGAGAGGAGAGAGAGACCAACAAAGGAGTTTGAAGAGTTAGTTTACTGTGCTTTGTGGTTGCTTAGTTCTGTTTCTTTTTTGCTGGGCAGGATTCTTTTGAACTGTGGAACATTTTCATTGGCGTGGTGCACGGACAGCCTGTGGCTGGTCAGTGGCTCGAAGGTCACAGTTGAGTGTGACACAGAACTCTATGGGTTTGGGTCTGGTGACTTCTTGAGGGGGACAGAAGCCTCTGATGTCATGAGCGACGTTAGCTCACAGGGGCGTTGGTTGAGCTTCCAACTTATTGATTGCGATTCCAGAGTCATTTTGGAACGCCAGCGCTCAGTGCCGTCACACTTGGAGTCTGAAAGCTTTTGGAACAAGGTGGGGTTCATTCTGTTTGCAAAAACGGTGCCTGGACTTGGCTTAGAATCATAGACATTTTAAAATGTAAAATGGACAAGCCAATCTTTTTTGCCAGGTGATGCCTCTGTGGGGGTTGATCAAAGCTCTGGAGGAAGCAGGGGAAGTGAATTGCAAGGTTGCTGAACACAGGCTGACCAAGGATGCTGGCTCCATCAAGATTGAGCCAGAGACCACCGTGTGCTTTTTACTTGACGCCTTGAAGGTCAGCAAGAAGAAAACCAAGGCATGTGGTATGTGGTGGTGACATTGATTGAATTAAGCATGGAACTTGTTGCTGTAACTTCCAATGCTTGGAAGGCTTACTGCAGTGTGCCACCATTGCTCATTGCTGTTGAATTTTGCTCATTCATAGTGAAAACCATGAAGTTCTCTTGAGTTTGTGACTTGACTGTTGTTGCAGGCAAGTGCCTTGACCTTTGGTGCCAAGACGGACTTGGCCAAGACTCGATCGAACAAGACTGTCTCCACCGTTTGGCGGTTGAGGTGGCCATTTGTTGGTTTGTTCTTGACTGGCTGTGTGGCCTTGGCAGGCTTCACAATGAAGGCAGTGAGGGCCCTCAATTGGTTCCAGTGAGGCCGTGTGCGGTCTTGAGCGGTGCTATTGTAGCCCAAGAAAATGAAGCTCTCAAGCTTTTTTGAGCCTGGGGAATCCTGGGATGTGTTTTTGGCAACTTTGATGCCTGACTGGGGATCTTCAGAATTGCACTGTTCATTGTAAAGCCTGGTGTGAGTAGGACACAATTGCCCTGTTTCAGTATGTTTGGTAATTGGTGATGCTTATGAAGTTATTTGACGCCGCTTGTGGTGCAATCCGAAGCGTAACATTGCAATCAAGCAATGCCACCTGGCATAAGTCAGATTCAAGCTGAATCTCTGAGACACCAGCCTCTGGGAAAAAGAGGTAACAACTTCAAGCCTTTCTTTCATCTTGCCCTCTGTAGGTAGAGCTGAACTTTTGCGCAGCAGTTGACAAAACTCTGCCTTGCTTTTGCTCAATGTAGGCTTTTGTGATCATAGGCGGTTGGCGCTTAGCATAGTCAATTTCATCAGGAATGGCAGGAACTTCTGGGCTGGGGAATGTCCTGGTGAGCCCTGCCTTCTCCATGGAGGACTATGCCACCATCATCGATGGGAGCGCTCCAGTTAGAGCAAGTCAGCAGACCACACCAACTGGAGGCAGCACGCTTTCCAGAGGAAAAAGCTCTGTCAATTTGATGAGCCGCTGTGATGTTGAGACTTCAGAAAGCTCAGAACACAAAGAACCATCTGGTGAAGAAGAGGCCAAGGAAGAAGAGCCACAGCCAGTGCTCAAAAGGCCTGCTGCAAAAACACGTGGGAGAAAAAGCCAGAAAGAGGAGGATGCTGATCTAACAGTTTTGGGTCGTTGCAAAGGCAACGATGATGATGATGATGCTGAGCAGGGTGCTGACGAAGCACCCAAGCGCCCAAAGCGTTCCAAGAAGGACAAAGAGAGCAAGCGTGGAAAAGTGAAGGAGGCAGAGAAGGAACCACACAAGAAGAAGCGAAGACATGGCAAGCGACACGATGGTGGAGCAAGTGAATCCGCTTCATCAGACGATGGGCTGGAAGAGGCCCTTGATCGCGCAGCCCAAGTGGAGCAAGAAGTGAATATTCAAGCTGAGGTCATTCAGAGTTCCCAAGAGTTTGCTCCTTCGCCTGGAGATCTTGGTC